CTCAAAACTATTATTAAGCTAAATTGGTTGAATATTAATGCACACATAATTCTATAATAAGATTAAAAAGGAACCTAATTCGGTTGTCCAAATTATCTTATTAGGCGTGATTTTCAATTACATATTCCCTTTAAACATGCAATATAGTGATCATAATAACAATATAATAGAACAATATTAATATTAGAACCAATTTAATCACAATTCCAACAACATAAAATCGTTAGAAAAATAATAAAAACAAAAGGAGCATGATCCTTACTTTGATTCTGTTTGTTTGCAACTACAAAATAATAAACGAGTTAGTAACTTCAAGGAAATAAATAAACAATAATTAAATTAAATTAAATTAAATAAAGTTGATTTTGGGGCCAAACCCTCAAACAGTTCTACCTTTCACGCCTTCGCTTAAAGACAGAACCTCGAGTAAAATATGGACTCCTTTGAGTGCTTGAAGAAGGAATTTTGAAGTGAAAAAGGGTAGGCTAGTGTTTAGGCTAAAGCATAGAAGAGAGAAAATAAAATAATCAAATTACTCGGTGCCCCGTTCATCAGAAATGAGGGGGTATTTATAGGGAAAATGTGTTGAGGGAGCACACGGAACCCTAAAATGATAAAAACCCTAAAAAAGTATCCCGTGACACGGTCAGACTGTACCATGACACGATCAGACTGTAATGTCAGACGGTGCACTTTCCCGTGACATGGTACAGTTTTGGAGTGACGCGGGAAATTTTCAGAAAACGGGATGAAAAACGCGTTAAGGGTTTACGCGGAAAGGACACGAAACGTCCCGTGTCACGGCAGACCTCCCGTGTCACGGGAAGTTCTACCGTCAGACGGGAAGCATTCCCGTGACACGGTGGCATTCTGCCGTGGCGCGGGAATTTTTCAGTCCATTTTCCGTCTAAATTCATTTTTAACCCTAATTTCTTTCGGTGTTTAAAATGCCGATTGATAATTTCGGGCTTTTTTCTGACTTTTATAATTCGGGCTAAAATAAGAAAATAATTAAATAAAAATAAATAAAAGGTTTGGGCCAAAAATAATAAAATAATAAAATAAAAAAAGGTTTGGGTTTAAAATAAGTTGGGCTGAAATTAAAACTATGCTTTTACCAAACATCAAGACTAAACCAATGGACCGTTCAAAAGTATGATTTTAATAAAATACGATTTTTTACGCACTCTCGGGATTAAATACTAAACCCGACCAATAGTGGCGGTGAAAGGTTATTTATCATCGGGTTTGGTTTTGGGGAGACATTTTTAAGTGTCTACAGAAGCCCCCACTTTGACTGAGTTTGTAGAAACGTCAGTTTTGAAAACGATAGTCAAAGTAGCCGATAGGGACGGAGAATGATTTAAGAAGTTTTGCGATCCTAAATCACTCTGCATACGTCGATACCTGCAGAAAAATGTTAATTCCACAGATAAAAGAGTAACGGGATAGAATACATATCTGGTACCAATGTATCGGTGACAAACGAATTTGGCAACTTCCTAAGCTTGAAGGAATCCACCGAGTGACATTTGTTGAAACGCTTTCCATGCTTGAGGAAAGCTGACTGAAGAGTTTGGTAGTTTTTAAAGCCTGAAGAAAGCTACCGGATAATACTTTCCATGCCTGAGGAAAGTCGACAAAAGAACTTGGTGTCTTTCTATGCCTGAAGAAATCCACCGATAATGCCTTCCATGCCTGAGGAAAGCCGACAAAGGAATTTCGTGGTTTTCTATACTTGAAGAAAATCCACCGATAACGCTTTCCATGCCCGAGGAAAGCCGACTTGGCGGTTTTCTATACTTGAAGAAAAATCCACCGATAACGCTTTCCAAGCCTGAGGAAAGCCGACTTGGCGGTTTTCTATACTTGAAGAAAAATCCACCGATAACGCTTTCCAAGCCTGAGGAAAGCCGACTTGGCGGTTTTCTATACTTGAAGAAAAATCCACCGATAACGCTTCCCAAGCCTGAGGAAAGCCGACTTGGCGGTTTTCTATACTTGAAGAAAAATCCACCGATAACGCTTTCCATGCTTGAGGAAAGCCGACTTTGCGGTTTCCTATACTTGAAGAAAAATCCACCGATAACGCTTTCCAAGCCTGAGGAAAGCCGACTTGGTGGTTTTCTATACTTGAACAAAAATCCACCGATAACGCTTTCCATGCTTGAGGAAAGCCGACTTGGCGGTTTTCTATACTTGAAGAAAAATCCACCGATAACGCTTTCCAAGCCTGAGGAAAGCCGACTTGGCGGTTTTCTATACTTGAAGAAAAATCCACCGATAACGCTTTCCATGCTTGAGGAAAGCCGACTTGGCGGTTTTCTATACTTGAGGAAAAATCCACCGATAATGCTTTCCAAGCCCGAGGAAAGTCGACGATTGCTGAAATTGGTAAGTGTATGATGGTTCGATTATCCCCGAACGTGGGCCGCAGATGAGTCACAATTTTAAGCCGATTATCCGACCATATTAAATGCTTAAAATGCCGAAAAATAGACTTTGACGCTTGCCAGGGGTAAAATAGTAATTTTAGTCCCCCTTAAATATTAGTTAGAATTTTCCGCGTAATTCTAGCGAAAAATAATCGCCCAATAAGCTCGGAAAATCAGTCAAACTAGTCAAAAACGCCAGGAATATTCGCTGACAGTGTGCAAAATTGCCGCGCCACGTCACAGGATCGCCGTGACACGAGAATAACTCCCGTCAGACGGGACAGAATCCCGTGTCACGAGAACTTTTTTTTTCCCTTTTTTTTTATTTTGCTGTTTGAATTGGTCAACGTGCCACGTCAAATTGTGTAGTTACACAATAACGGTAACCGTGGCACGGGGTCCGTTGCACGGTTACTTTTTTCCTTTAAATTCGCATTTTTGCTCTACCATTTTCGCCATTTCTCATCTCCACTCTTACTCCAAAAAGTTCAAAAAAACTCCTTGGGTTGCCGTATCTCGTCGAGCTCTCACTGGTGCCCGGTTTTGCTTCCCGTCGGCCGGTTTCCACCACCGTGTCACGGTTTTCCTGCCTTTTCTCTCTCCTTTTTTATTTTATTTTATTGCGGGATGCTGCTACCGTTGTTTCGTGCTTCCTACTGTTGTTGCTGTTGTTCGAAGTCGCTGGCAGAGTTACCGGAGCTGCCGTCTGAGTCGCCGGAGCTCCGTCGCCTGTGAAGCTCACCGTGACACGGGACAGCCTTGCCGTGTCACGGATCTTGTTGACCGTGTCGCGGCGGTCCTGCTGGTGGCCGGAAGTTTTTCGCGCTTTTAGAGTTCGAATTTTCACCAATTTGCTGTAATTGCTTGCTATTTTCCTTATTTTCGACCCTCTACAAGCATCCATGTAAGTCTCCTTTGATTTTTGTCTTGAATTTGCCTCACATAAGTAATTTCATGAAAAAACCCTTAAAAATCAATTTGGGGATTTTAGATTTTGAGGTTTTATGTTGAAATTGTTGCCATGATTTTACTTGTATATGTATGTGTAGGGAATAATTTCAAGCCTTTAAAAATCCCACTAGCTTGAACCCCACTGTGATCATACACTAAAGTACGGTGGCGTCCAAAAGGGAAGAAGATAGAGCAAAAGAGTCGCCAACAAGTTTTTAAGGAACTTGTAAACCGTTCATAGGATGAAGGTTACACCCCTTAACGATCCAAGAGATCGTCAACTCCATAAGGTCATGAACCAAATAAGGGTTCGGGGATGATGGTACAAATCCAACCTAAAAGAGATTGAACCTGCCCTAATAATAGGCCTCTACTTTATTATGATCGTATTCATGTGCGCTTTCTGACTAACATACAATCAATAGGATTAACCCTAAACCTGTTTAATCTATGTTGGTTGAATTTAACACCCAACCAATAATGGTGGTGAAAGATTGTTCATCATCGGTTGGGGAGACATTTTTAGGTGTCTATAGAATACAGATTGACAAGCTCAAGTTTGACGGTTCAGTTCGTAACAACTCAGCAGCATCAGGTGTTATCATCAGAGATAGTAGCGGAACACTCATCAAGGCATCTATGCTCAATCTCGGCAACGCCAAAATATTTATAGCGGATGAGATAATACATATGATTTAGGAGGATGACATGAGCTGGAAATTATTTTCATGTCATTTTCTGTAAAAAATTAGAAAGTATTGAATATTACATTATTCTTCCGTGACAGTTTAGGCGACAAGTGGTGTATTTTTTTATTATTATTATTAATTTTATTTTTCAAATGTATTATTTTAATAAATTGATAGATATTTGTAATATAGGAATTAATGAAGATTTTATTATGTTTCAAATGATATATTAGACCTACATTTTTTCAACTTGTAAATATTCCTCATTATCAAATACTTACGTATTTATTAAGAATAAAGTATTCCTCATTAGATTTTTTGTCAATTTTTTACTTTACAATTTATTGTTAAATATATTGTATTTATTTGAAAAAAAAAATTATACATGTATATATTTGACAAAGATTATATAGGACTCTTTAAAATTAAGCAATTTAGTAAAATATTCATGTGTAACATATACTTCCCTATATATATAAAAGATATTATAGTTACAAGAAATATTCTATAATATGTGATAATATATATGAATAAGATTTATGATAAATATACATTAAAATAGTTTTTTACAAAAAAAAATATGAAAATAAAATAAAATAAAATAGCCTAAATTAAATTAAAACAAGGACATGTGTCAGCCATGAAGCTAGTATGCCGGTATACCCTGTGTTAGTATAGTATACAGATTACAAGTGTTCAAAATAATAATTCGGGACATCGCTTAAACCACGCACTAGTTTGGTTTTTAAAAGGTGTAATTTGACAAAATTTCTTTTTTCTTCTAACTTTTTTTAATTATCAATTGAATTAGTTTGGATGTATGTATTAGTATAATTTTTACTGACACAAAATTGCATAAGTTTATAGTCATACTTTATACAATTATCAAATGGTGTCAATCAATTTGTTGCCAGTAATCAAGAACTATCAATTCTCTTCAATATATTGATCAGTCACAAATGTGTAAAAAAAAAAAGCCTCTACATGCCACAATGTTTATGATCTATCTGACGGATCAAAATAGTACATTCTTAAGAGGACCTTTGAACCAATTTTTAGCACTAAGAATCCAATAAGATAATATAAGAATCAAAAGACCACCAACAGCAACTGGTGTATAATTGAGAGTCTCGGTGTTGATAGGATAGGCAACAGGCAGTGAGAACAGCAACGAAATCGCAATCACCCAAACAACTGCAATCCATCCAATAAGTATCCCATATCGCCCCAAGTTGAAGGGTCCTGGCACGAAGGATTTGCGAGCTATAGTCACTCTGAAGAATATGGGCAATGCATATGATATGTACAATCCAATTGTTGCTATTGAGACCATTGCTTCAAATGCTACTAAACTTCCAAGAGACTACAAAAAGAGACAGTTTTGTCAGGAAGAGCAGGAATTCGGACAATATAGACTAATCTGTCAGTAATAAACTGATGCATATATACCGTTAATGCCATGGAAAAGGATATGAAGGCAGACATCCAAACTGAATAAATAGGAATTTCTAGCTTGTTCACTTTTTGCCAAACAGATGAAAATGGCATGGCGCCGTCTCTTGAGAAAGCATAAACCATCCTAATGTATAAGAAACAATAATGTAGGTAAAGTCAGAGATCAAACATATTTACATATACAAAGTATAAAAGATTTTTATTACGAAATAGATTAATCACCTAGAGTTGCTGGTCATTGAACTCATGCCACAGAAAAATACAGCAACAGCAACAACACACAAGCATATGATTCCACCAGTTCCACTCCCATATCTACTCTTGAATGCTAGGTAAAATACTTCGGCTATAGCATAACCACCAGCATCATTTTCGCTGCTCAATAGGTATGGAATATCGGTGACAGCAAACGTAATACCAACAATGTAACCCCAGCCAACAATTATTGATATAACAATGGCACTGATAATTCCTTTCGGTCCATTCTTGGCTGCATCCTTCGTTTCCTCTGTCTGTAATTGAAATTTAACAAAACAAATAATGTTGGTATTTATTGGTTTTATTGCCTAACAATGTGATTAATAAAGTTAGAAAATCTATTTTTTTTTTTCTTACCATGTGAGCAGATGCATCATAGCCTAGGATAGTGTATTGGCTCATTAGAAGTCCAAGGACAAAGATGTATACTACACTTTTGATCCCTTCGCCGTTATCAGTGTTGAAGTGAGTAAATACAAACTCAGCACTAGCCCTTTCCTTAGCAACGAGGGGGACGAGTATCATAAGCACAAAGACACCTAAAAGAACAGTCAGATACAAAGCCAGGTATTATTGACTAAAATTCACTTCTAGTATAATAATAAAGCCTAAGAAATTCAAAGTACCTGCAACATTCCAAGCTGCAGAAAGCTGTCCTAAGAAGGATAGCCATGAAATAGGGAGACTATTCAACAATGCATGTATAAGAAGTAGGCCGCCATGAAGGCCCATCACGACATATTTGGATGCTTCGTAACCACCACCATTTTTCCCACCTGTACTGAGTAGAATGATCACCTGTATCAACTGTGCCAGAGAGTAGTCTACACTGGTTGTAACAGCCCACTGCGAATCACAGAAGATTTAATCAGATGAAGGAAAACAGCAAACCTCTGCTCTTACTAGTGAATTCAGAGCAGAACATTACCTGACCAACTATATTGAACCTGCAAGAGCAGATAAATAAACAATTACATCGAGGAATCACTGTCATAAGAGATAATGGACATAAGATGAGACACGGAATGGAATAGATAAAGGCGATCAGTTGGGACACGTACCAGCCAGTGAGCCATGAAGCAAAGGGCCCCCAATGATTCCCACAAAGTTTGGCACTCCAGAAGTAAAGGCCACCAGATGTTGGGAAGGCGGAGCAAATCTCCGCCATGGACAAACCCACCATCATAGTCATAACACCAACAATAGGCCAGCCATACACCATGGTTACAGGTCCGCCGTATGTTAAACCCATATTAAACATTGTTGTTAAACCTGTTAATACTGATATGATGGAGAATGTCACTGCAAAATTGGCAATTGCCCTGCATCACCAAATTAAGTCATAACATATGTCAGATTGAATTTGAACAATATATATATCATTATGTATTTTTGTCATTGTAGTCATCAGTCATTCACTTAGTTGGTACCCTCAGTGGTACACGCGGCTGGTATCCAAGACCTTAATTTGAATCTCGTCTACATCATTTATTCAATCTCTTTGCAACTCCCAGATATGAAAAACAAAATATCATTCAGCTTACCTCAGAAGCATTAAAAATTAGGTAATTTTATCCAAACACTTAACAATATCCTCTAGACAACACCAATTTTAATGACAGTAAACCCAACTAATTTACCTTCTTATAAATCAAAACATTAACATCCTAAATGGTCATCAAAATACATCTTGAATGTTTAATTGTTAAAAAATCAAAAACTATGTGATAATCACATTTCAATAATTTATAGAGTACCAATTAATTAAGATTAGAAGTGATAAATCATTTCCTAATATTCATATTGAAAAGTAAGTCGTTCAAATTATTTGCAACGATTAGATTATTTTTTTTTTCTCTACTTTATGTCAAATTGTTGCAAATAATATGAAACGGAAATAGTAGATAAATTCCACTAGTTGACTGGCTGGCATAGTAAGACTGTAAAAGAAATATTGAAAAATAAATAAATAAACACAAGAAAGAATGTCAGGTAAGGTTAGTTGGTGAAGTCAGTCTCGGAGAATGATCCAGACTTGAGATCAAATCACGAATCGCCGACACCTCTTATATGAGCTTATGACTTTTACACCAAAACAATGACATTATTATAATAAGAATAATAAGTTAGATAGTAAAAAAAAACATACGAGAGGCTTCGATTAAGCTCTTGTTTGTAACCCAACTGTTGCAGCAGATTGTCATCAGACACTGCTGATCTTTGAGTGCTCAAAAGGGGTTGGTTTTGAACATCAATTGAATCCATTTGCTCAACTTCAACAAACAAAATCTCAAGTTTTCTCTCAATAAAAAGAAATTGAATTATAGATATTTTGCACCATGATTTTGGGGGCAATAAATAATGTGTAGTTGATTAGCTGCAACTTGTTACATATAGTTAAATATTTAATAAATTTAGCTAAAAGTAGAACGTGCAATTTGATTTGATTGATACGGTAGCAGGTAGCTTAAAATATCTTATAAATTATTGACACATTTTTTAAAAGATCTTTGTCTCTCAAAAAGATTTTAAGGTTTGTTACCTCAACCATATTAGAGGCAATTTGGGGTGAGAAATTTCTTATTCTTTCAACTCTCCCCTATTAAGTTGTCTTGTCCGTTAATGCGGGTTGGGTTGGATCAGTGTGATATTTCAGCCTAATAGGGTCCTTCTCTTTACCGTAAAAATAAAAAATTTAAAAAAAAAAAATTCAAATTCCAGCAACTTAAAGTTAGTATTTTGCGAATTGCAGCCATTTCTTATAAACTGTAAATTACCGCCCGATACAACTTTTTTTTTGGTTTACATGTCAAAAAATATTCGGTTAAGGTTTTAGGGTTCATTTTAGCCCTTCAAGATCCGAATTGAGCTCGAAGTTAACAAAAAAAAATGTAAGTGCCTCGTTTACAGCATAAAATAAGGGCATGTTCTCTTACGTTGAAATTCAGTTCAGTTCAGTTCAGTTCAGTTCAATTCAGCTCAGTTCAGTTCAGTTCAGCTCAGCTCCTTATTTCCTTCTCTTATAAAATATTTAGTTCAGTTCAGTTCAATTCAGTTCAGTCAATGAGAACATGCCCTAATTTCCTACAAATCGATACATTTTTGTTACACAAAATGAGACATTTACGTTATTTTTTTGCTGATTCCGAGCTCAATTCGGGCCTTTAAGAACTAAATTGATCCTAAAACCTTAATCGAATATTTTTCGACACGTAAATCGATGGAAGAATTAAAATGGGCTGCAATTTACAATTTAAAATAATTTTTGAGCTGCAATTTGCAATTTTTTTTAAATGGTTAACTTAAGCTGCAATTTGCAAATTTTCCAAAAAAAAAAAGTTAACGAGCATATATCATATAAAGTAAGTTGTTTGTTTAATACTCCCTCTGTCCCAGAATACATGGGACGTTGGACTTTTTTCACTATTTATATATTAGCTTTGACCATAAATTTTTACTAACCTAATTAAAACATATTTTTATCGTAAAATATATTTTTAAACAGGTATTAATATAAAGTTTTATTATATAATTTTTAAAATAATTTTCATTAATATTTAATTATATTATGAAAGTGGACACTTTGACGAATCTAATGATGTATTATATAATAATATTTATTTATTTTATAATAACAAATAAATTAAGTCAAATATAATATGTAAATAGCATAATAATCAAACTGATGTATTTTAAAAAATGGAGGGAGTATGATAAAATTATTTAATGGTATAGCCCAAAAAAAAAAAAAAAAAAAAAAAAAAAAAAAAAAAAAAAAAAGTGTCTACAATGAATTAAAATATAGTAAAGCATATACGAAGAATATATAACAAAAAGGAACATAGGGTTTTACTCCTAACAAAAATGAAAAGTGGACATAGGGTTTTTCTTTCTTTATTCTTTTGGAAAATTGTGTTTTAAAATTAAACATTTTATATTTTTCTGTTAATCATAGAGATTATCACGTGTCAAACATGTTGATTTAAAATTTGGTTGGCGCCGTATTATGGTGGTAGACTGGTAGGCTCATAAACAGTCAATGTGGAGTCAGCAACACTGACATAAATTAATAAATACTGTAAAGATATAAAGAACAAATAGAAAATCAAAAGTTGTGATGATTCCTTTTCAATTTGGGTAATTATTGGCAAATTACACATGTTACAAAAATATAATAAAAATAATTCTCTATACGTTCCTAAAAGAAAGTTATATTTATCATTTATAGACGTTTTCAGCGTTTCAATTATATGGAAGTGTTGTTTGATACTCCGTAAGAGTGATGAGTGTAGGGATGTATTCCACTATATACGACATTAAAGAAAAAAGAAAGTAGTGCTCACTTTATAAGACTAAGGTCATTGTTATACGGATTTGAGGTGAAACCTTGGACTCGTATAATTGACACCCATGACAGTGTAAACAAACTTGTTTAACATGTTATATGTTCTCCTAATACAAATCTTTTTTGCTAGTGTAAGTAGATAATCTCTTCACCAATGAAGTAGATAAGTATGTTTCCAAAAAAAAAAAAAGTAGATAAGTAGATGGTTTCAAAAAAAAAAAAAAAAAAGTAAATCATCTCTTCACATTTAAATCTTTCAAAAGTCCATAAATTAGATAGTTTCTCATTTTTCCTTAAAAAAAATAGTTTCTCATTTGAGTTAATTATTTCCCTAATTTTATTTCAATCTATAGGGCATTTCTTTAATTTTAACGACGAAGTTGCAAAAATGGAAATATAATCCGTATCTAAAGTCCTTAATTTTTTTTTTATGTACTTGTATATATGTATGGAATTACTGAGTGTTTATTTTAATGTACTCGTATATATGGAATGATAAGAGTCACAAATAAGAATTTACGAAAAATCAATAAACAAAATAGCTCAAAATATTTTATTGAAAAACGTTGATTCTTAAATTATAAATCGTTATCGCATGAGTATAAAATCTATAATTATAAGTAATTAAAACAGCGTCAATAAAAGTATAAAACAGTGCATATAGATGTCCTAAAATGAGTATTATACATAATTTTTGAATTAAAAATCCGCTTAAGGTGCATGAATTTTTGGGTTACAAATAAGTAAATAACTTAATTTTTTTAGAGTGATTTAATGGAGTTTTTTTTTTTTTTTTTTTTTTTGAAACAATTTAATGGAGTATTTGAGTTACAGATTTTAATAACAAAACTTTTTGACAATCTCCCTCAATCGGAAATTAGTATGTTCAAATATTTAAAATGTGAAAGGTTGTCAAATGCAATTATACTTCTAACACGAATTACAAAACCTTGCAAGTAAGCGAGAATCTGTACATATCCGATCCAGATACATGCTGATTAGTAGCCTACTGCTATATACAGAAATTACGTTCTAACTATCCTTGCATCTTCAAGAGCATTGCTAACAAAAAATATTATACGTGACGTACAAGCAGCATACATACTACATACACGAGATGCAGCAAAAATGGTGTTATATACAGTGAATAAGACGCTCAGGGATTTCCCGCATTTGACACAAAAGGCACCAGCCTTTTGTGATCCTTCTTCCTTCCAATTGCACAGTTATCCAGAACCCGTCCCATAATCAACTGTGTATTCTGCAAGGCAACTTCCTTAGGGGGCATTCCAGATTCAACTGCTCCCCCTTGCCCATGAGACATTAAAGCTGTTCCATATCCTGAACCCAGCAAATATGGTAGGGGTCCACTACGAGCCTTGAATGAAGTTTGGGGTGCAAGCTGCTTTTCTTCAGCCCCAACTTGGCCATTCTCATAACCACCAGGCTCGTGCAAATGGGAACCACTTAAAGAGCTGCAACTTTGCAAGAGGGCTTCCAATACACTGAGTGCGTCACACCCCAAAGAGCTTTCCACCAACTGGGACACAATTGCATACATATGCGGATTTTGGGCAGCATCAACTGGAGTATGCTGTAGTAGTTCTTTCAGCAAAAGCAGAATTACCCGTTGATACTCAACAGGACCTCTCTCTAGTAATCTTAGCAGATGACCAAAAGCTAATGCTGAGTGTTTTGGGAACCACTCGTTGCACAATAATGGAGCTACGCAGGCAAGTAAATTGTTAATAGTCTTGAACTCACCTTGCGAGTATGCCAAAAATACTGTGGCCAACCCCTCAAGGGATTTTACCCGACACCAGTGAGCGATGTTGGCAGCAACAGAGCAAGCTTTCTGATATTGCTGATGGAGAGGTGAGGCGAGCCCGATAGGATCCTTGCTGAGCTGTAAGCACAGCCAGGGTAGCAAGCCAGTAATATGCATGAGAAGCCTCGTTCCTGGATCCCCAAAAATAGAATCACATGACGGGAATGTGATGCGTGAGAGGACCTCAATAGAAACGCCATGGCTAACAGTTGACATGAGCCCTTTTAGAACAAGAGGCTGCACACCTTCAAAAGCAGGAACCTTCCCACCGAGATCAACACCTGTCCTGGATTCCATGTGCTGGAAATCCCCCACCTCAGATACACTGGTATCCAGCTCATCACGAGGCATGCTTGATAGGAGCACATTTTCTGTTGTTCTTTCCCAAAAGGACAAACGATCTATCACACGCAAGAACAGCTCAAGCACCTGGCAATAAACATGCACAAAGTCTGTGTGCATCATTGCAACACAGCCCCAAAAAAGCTGGGGAAAAAGTATGACCTTTTCAGGTTCCATGTTCTCTACCATTACTTGCAGTGTTAACAGAATCTCCATAATAAAGCCCAGAACTTCAGGCTGAGGATTAGTCAAACACCTGTGCAAGCAACGAAGAAGTGAAACACAAGCATCACTAGTTACCTTTGGCCTCAGTGCTCGGTATATCTGGTGGGACCGGCATGCAAGGTGCCTTGAGGTACACTCCATGGCCCATTTTAACGCTTCTGTCCCCCAAGTCTCCCGAAGGTCTCCTTGGAAAAAAATTGCATCAACCATGCTTTGAACTAGGGCAGACAAAAGTGCTGAACTAGGAACATCAGGCCTTACAACACTAGGGTCCTCATTTTCCCACATCATGCTTCCACGCTTAGACTGCACATACTTAATTAAGCTGACAACCTGCTGTTTGTTCTCTCCATCACTGTTTTCAACTTCATACAGCTCTAAATGCCTTCCAGCCAGTGAGTACAACAAATTAACTAGAAGGTGTTGGCAGTGCTCAAGAACAATATCTTCTGAACTGTCCATTGAAACAAAAGTAACATGAAACAACAAAGGCAAGTGCTCCCTAAAATCTTCATCATTTTCATAGGCGATTTCAGCAAGTAGAATCAAAGCAATGTCTGCTTGAGTAAGGGAATGCTGTTGGTGACCCTGCAAAGCTGACTGAAGCTCTTTTGCATTGACACCATGCATTCCAGAGACACTGGAATGCAAGCC